ATATAGGCCATATATATATATAATTATATATATATATATATATATGTATATATATATAAATGTATATGTTTTTAAATACGTTACGAATAAATGTGACTTTGCCAGAAAACAGAGAGAAAAAAAATCTACTCTTTAGCTATAGCCAAAACACGAATAAGAAATAATACTTTCCATTCCGGTGTTCACTCGACATGTGTGCTAAGACATAGCGAATTTATTCACTTTGCCATAAAAATCCCAATTTTTAACACAATGCAGCCATTTAACTATTATCTAATATCTTTCTCATTATAAAAAAAAAATCATTGTTAATTATAATGAATTCCACCGGTATTATATACAATAATGCGTTTGAATATTTCTAAGAAAATCTATCGAAATAATTATAATCTGTAATGATAACAAATAGTTTACGTTATAGCTTTAGGCCTAATCATCCTAATCTCAATACTTAATATTACATAGCATATTTTTGTAACAATGCCCATACATAAATACTTTTAACTATATATACTATATATACTATATATATATATATATATATATATATATCCATGACTGTAACTAGATGTAATGTAGTTTGATTTTTAGCGCTTTATACCGGTGTCTCAAAGGTGTGGACTAGCTCCTACGGTAATGTTCTACTCCCCTGAACGTCTCTTCGTGTCTGAGCTAATAAACCGGTGGGCCTACCCTCGTCTGTCCACAGCAAGAGATATATGAAGGTGGTAACCCCAAACTCGTCTTGAAAGATGTACTGGGTTATTAATAAAGTGCACATGAGCCAAAGTTTGTACGCTGGGACTATGGTTACCGTATAGTCCCTATCCGAGGAGAGCGTGCCGTTCGTCCCAGCGCTGCTATTATGGCTATACCGTACATTGAGGCGCCCCTGCCTCAACCGCTCGAGCATTCGACTAACCTGCCTGATCAACTAGTAGACAATATTCAATAAATTAGAATTAATGTTATTCGAAATAAAAAAATAAGTGCAGGCCTAGATTGCTTTACAGTCACATATTATCAAGTATATAAAACGTTTTTGAAACCACAACGTAAACGTTAAATGTCGCAATTTACCAATTTGGCTACCTCTGCTCTGAAGTGTACATACCTAATGTAATAGGCTCAGAATGTGTTTTGTAGAAGTTTCTGAACTGAATTGTTAAGGACGTAAAACCATGAAGGAATATTATGATTTAAGTGTTTTAATGACCGGATCGTGGGTTCTAATCCATGACTTAAGAACGATTAAAATATATTTTATCACAAAACTATTATGCTGACAATAAGAATAATAATAATAATAATAATAATAATAATAATAATAATAATAATAATAATAATAATAATTAATAATAATAATTCTGGATTTATATAGCGCCTCACGATTACACGAGGCGCTTAGACAGGTAGACAATAATAAAATCATGCCAATATTGTACAGTATAATTAAT